CCTCCAAGGGCCTGCTCTTCCAGCTGTCAGATTCCATTTTCACTGTGTTACCTCTTGCTTTGTTGGAATATTTTGACTTTGATTTTGAAATCGCCTTTATTTCCTGATATCTTATCTGGTTGATGTAGCAATAGGGGCAGTGGGTTAAGCTGAGTCTTTGGAGCTGGCTAGCAGTTAGCTAAATGACCGCAGAGCCCTAGGTAGGGAGATGAAGCAGAAGGAAGCCATCCTTGGCCACTTCCAGATCTTACTGAGAGCAGTTGAGGTTCTGGAGTGCGCATTGTGTCACCACTATTAAGGAAAGAGCTGGGTTTTTTCCATTTAGGGAACTCGTCAGAGCATCAGAGCTAAGAGTTTCTGTGTCAGGAGTCAGGCGGGTGGTGGAAGTGGGACTGTAGGGAATCAGCAAGAGTGTGGCTGCCCCGTTCGGAGGGGGCGCCAGCCCTTTGATGCCATGCAGAAGGAGGGATCCAGTTCAAGAGAAGCCCAACAAAATGTGTCTCAAGGCTTGGCCTTGACTCTGCGCTGTAGTCCTCCTGGAGCTCGTATGGCACATAATCGGGGCTGAGAGGAGGTGGCATAGCACAGAAACCTGATAATGTGAAAATGTTTGTTTTGCCGAGCATGAGGAGAAGAGCCTGGAAAAAGCCCAGCTGGTTGTCTGAAGGAGGACTTAGCTACCTCTGTGTGATCCTTAACGCTGCAATTCAGGCAGTTCCCTGGCCATGGCAGATGAGCTTGAATTCTGCATCAGACGGCCCCCGTGGACGTGGTCTATCAGTCTGTCGGTCGACACTGCCTGCTCTCTGGATCCCTTTTTTTGGAGAGGTCCCATCCCAGCACCTACCTACTCCAGAATTTCATGGCTGTCTTCTGTCACCTTTTGCAGTTTTAATCCCTTTCACACTAAGATTTAAAGTATTGTTGGGGGCCTTTGGGAATTTTTAGATTGAATAGGAGTTTAATTGTTGAAAACATTTTGGCACCTGTCTCCTGGGCGGAGGATGCTTTTGCCCCTTGGTCACTCCCAGCCCACCCTGGCAGCCTTCTTTGGCTCAGTTGGATGGTGATTCTGTATCATGCACACTCGAATCTAGAACAGTTGTGACCAGCTGTCCCATTTCTCAGGCCCCGGGTGGCTTTTGTGCATTATCCAAATTTCGAGTTCCTGCCATTCGAAAGTGGATATTGTTTTCTTTTCTGGCTTGAGACCTGAGAAGGGCTGTGAGTAACTGCACAGGACTCAGGCTCTGTTAGCTTGCAGAGGCAGCCATATGCCGAGGGAAAAGAGCCTGGCCTGGCGCTTTCATTCTTCATGGTCTTTCTTTGAATCAGGTGTGAACAACCCCAGAACTGGCAGTGGTCACATCTGACAAAGGTTTGAATCACAGGGACAGGCTGGCATTTGTGTCCTTTTAGAACCTTTGAAAAAGAAAATAGGGATCCTAAGTCTGAAAGAGCTGATTTCCACAATTATGAACATGAATCGTGTTCTCTGTTTTCCTTACGGATGTGGTTAAATGAGGCTATCCTCTTCTTTATCAAAGAACTTAGAAAACCTCGTATTTCGAGGCTCACCACGTTGCATCCCTGGGATGTCACTTCCCCGGACGCCTGGACTGCTGGGCCAAGGGCTTGCTTTGAAGTCTCGGCCCAGCGTGGCCTCGTGTGGATGCTGACTGGAACCACATTTTGTCTTCAGGTCCAGCCCTGCTGGGAATCTTTCTCCATCACATGGATTTAAGGAAGAGCTTGACCGTGGAGCAGGGCACGATGAAGGTTGAGTTACTGCCTGCTCTGACCGACAATTACATGTACCTGATCATCGATGATGACAGCAAGGAGGCTGCCATTGTGGACCCGGTACAGCCCCAGAAGGTGGGAGGCGAGGCCCCAGCACCAGTTCTTCATCTCCTGATGAGTTTGATAACCACAGTGCCCTTGCAACTTGGCCAAAGCTGAACAGAAATTAATCCGTTTGGTTTTTGAAAAACAGTTAAATTAGTGTCCAGCCACTCTGTTACAGGGGCAAAGGGCCAGTGAGAGGGGTGGAAGCGACCAAAGGCTTTGGAGTGGAGAGAAAAGGGCTCCTGTCTGTAGAGTCCCTGGGCAAGAGAAGAAGGAGCCCTTCTCAGCACTTTCTCCTCCTCCTCAGGGCTTTCTGCCCCTTAGTGCTGCCTCTAAGAGTGGCAGTCTCTGCTGGAGGGGCTTTGAGAGGTTGTGGGTGGGACTGAACTGCTGAACGGATCAAGGGAGAAAAAGCCTCCGTGTCACCCTGCTCTCCTGGAGCTGGGGCAAATTGGCAGGCTCCACTGGGCATCACCTTGCAGACTGATGAGCCAGTGCCGGGGTGTGACTGTGGCCTGTGTCCTGCCTCATGTTTGGTTGCAGGTTGTGGAAATGGTGAGGAAGCACGGTGTGAAGCTGACTACAGTGCTCACCACCCACCACCACTGGTAAGTGCTCCAGAGGCCGAACTTCTGTGCCAGCAGAGTTGCTTGGGCCTTACAGCTGTGCCGCGCACACCCCAAGGGGGAGCATCCACCAGGTGGAGGGGGGTGGGGCACTCGCAGGCTCCCAGGGGTCCCCCCCACAGGTGGGAGCCTAGGGGCTCAGAGCCCTGGAAGCCCTTCTCTCCTCCACAGCTATGAGCTAAGGGTCAGCCCCAGTGGGGTTCTGACGGGGCTTCCGGGCACTAGCCTCTGTGCTGCTGCCCTGTGTCCCTCAGGCCTGGTGATGGGGTCTGGTGACTTGGGGGCTCCAAGGGGAGAGGCTTATGCTGTATATCCTGTGGCCATGGGTGGACCTTTGGCAACATCTTTGAAAGCTCTTGTGCTTGTGTGGTGGGAAATTGACCTTGATGTTGGGGAATGAACTAGTCTAGACGTAAGTGTTTTTGAAAATCAAGCAATCATTTGGAGAGGTTGCGGTTTTTTTGATATTTGAAGGCTAAAGGATGAAAAAAGTTCTTATATTTGGGTCTTAGGACTAGAGTTGCCTGCCCAAGGCCCTTGTGGGTTTTTGAAACTTTTGAGGCTCTTCAAAGGTAGGAAAAAATGTTTATTTGGCTCTGAATTTTCTTTTCCAAATAACTGCCTGAGGGCAGCTAGGACAGCTTTGAACCTGTGGCATCTCACGGAGCTTGGGGCGTGTCTTCGGGTAAAAGGACACCTTTCATCTTCTGTGTGGGAGTGTCACCTGGATGTGGTTGGCCAAAGTCTGCTAAGTGTTGGAAACTTGTTGATGTAACTAAGTCGCTGAGAATCTTTGGGGTTGTTTAGCCTCTGGGGTATCAGGTGTTACTTCCTGACTGATTTAGGCCCAAGGATCTGCAGTGGCTACTTAGCACAGCCGCTCCTTCTCTCAGGAACTCCGCCCCGTGTGGTGCTGAGGCACCCTTACTCCTCTGGCCTCTGTGGGGCTGCACTGGGGGGCTGCCTGGGGACTCCACCTCCCCAGCTTTTCACAGTGCGAGTCTCTCTCCCACGGCTTTTCCCACATTGTGATGCCTTATAAATTAAACCAGGCCCCAAACTGAGCTCCAGGGTGTGGCCTGTGCCACCCTCCCACTTATAGGTGGCGTTTTCGAGGGTCAGTGATGAGTGTGCTGAGTGCTTGGTGCCAGCTTGTGTGTATCAGCCCCCTGCAGGGCAGGGAGCAGAGGGCTGCCCCCTCTTATCTGTGAGCCCTGCTGTTTTTGGGCCCGTAGGTGAATGTGTAGTGAGGAGCAGGTGTTCCCTAGTGATTGGAAAGTCCTCGCCTCATCCTGGAAAGGCTAACCTGGGCTCAGGACACTCCCAGCCCTGCCCCGAGACCCTGGCAGGGCTTGCACTAGTGTTTTTCTTGCCCCACAAGGCCGAGGCGTGGAGCTCTTCTCTTGACCTGGGAAGCATGGGGAACTCCTGGATGAGTGTCCAGGAGGTGCCTCAATGCTGGCTGCACATTCGAGTCACGTGGGGAGGTCATTCCGAGCTGGCCTGTCCCTGGGTGGACAGATCCCCCTCTGGCAGCTGGGCATTGTTTTAGAAGACCGCTTTGCAATCTGCTCAGGGCAGTGGGTCCCATCTGGTCTGTGAATCAGAATCACCTGAGGGCCGTTAAAACTCCTGGGCTGCGAGCTTCCCCAGGCCCACTGCATCAGGATGTGTGGGTGGGAGTCAGGCCTTGGCGCTGTTTACAGATCCTCAGGTGACTCTGATGCGCCCAGAGTCTGGGAACCACGGGTGTAGGGATTATCCAGGTGTTTGTGATTTGGTTCATCTGCTCCAGAAGCTTCTGCAGCAACACGGCAGGGGCACAGAAGTGCCTCTCTTGGGAATGGGGTGTCTGAGGACATTCTTTTTCAGTGGAGCCAAATGACAGACAAGAAGCGAGGATCCTGGGTTGGAAGATGCATTTCTCTTCTGAGAAACATAACTGGGAAAAATAAAAATTCCGTTTGGTCAGGGTGTAAAAGCAGGCAAACCCTGTTCGTATCGGCAGTAGCCCCAGCTCCCCTTTTCGACTTCCAGGGACCACGCTGGTGGGAACGAGAAGCTGGTCAAGTTGGAACCTGGGTTGAAGGTGTATGGGGGTGATGACCGGATTGGAGCCCTGACTCACAAGGTCACACACCTGTCCACACTGCAGGTGAGGAGTGAATGGAAGGGGCTCAATTGTGGCCCTGCTGGGCTTCAGGCCCTAGAGCCGCCTCCTGCTGGCTGTCCCCTCACTTACCCCAGGAACCCAGAGGGGCACTCAAGGGCTTAGCTGTGGAGATAGCCTGGCCTGTGCATGGGTGGATGGGCTCTTGGGGCTGCCTGGGCCTGGGTAGTCCCTTCTGTTGAGAGCATTGCAAGCAAATCAGCGTGCAGATGGTGACCGGCTGAGGGGAGAAGCTGTATGCATGGTTTTGAGACAACTGGGGACATTGAAATACGGACTCTACGTGGGATCATATTTGACATCAGTGTTAAATTTCTTGGGTGTTGATAATAGTGAGGTTATATGGGAGGATGTCCTTTTCTCAGGAGATGTAGCTGGAGGGTCTAGGGGCAGTGTGTCAAGATATGTGTGTGTGAACAAAGCAGGTGCTGCACAGGTGGGACCTGTTAGCATTTAGTGACCCGGGTAAAGGGCACACGGATTCATTGTCATTTTAGTTTTTGGTAGGTTTGAACGTTTTTGAAGTAAAGAGTGGGGTGGGGGATGGAGGCAGAGAAGGGAAACAAAACAAAAGGCTAAGCATCTAAGAAGGAAAACTGTCTTTTCTGGCAAGACGCCTGGTTCAGATTTGGCCTGGTTTTGAGGAGAAAACAAAATCAGCCCTTTCGTTTGCATACCAGCAAACACCGGCTTCCAGGGGGTCCCTGCATCTGGGGTACCCTCAAGGACTGGGTCCTGTGGTCACCAGCAAGACCCATGACTTGCTCAGTGGAGCAGTGGCTGTGGAAGCCCACTCGCCCTTAATGGCAGCTCCTGCTGTGGGGCGGGCATGGGATCTGGGAGAATCTGTGAGCCTTAGGATAGGCTCCCCACACGCAGGGAGCACAGGCCAATGTGTGCTCTGTTTAAGGTGGGGTCTCTCAACGTCAAGTGCCTGTCGACGCCATGTCACACTTCCGGACACATCTGCTACTTTGTGAGCAAACCCAACAGTCCCGAGCCCCCTGTGGTGTTCACAGGTGAGTATTCAGGTGTTTGAGCTGGGGGGGTCTGGTGTTCTTTGCAAAGACCCTCTTGGCATAGGGATGGCTTTGCACACCTTTGGGCAGAGCAGCAGAGCATCTCCTGCCAGGCAGACTGTGCTGGGCTCTGTGAGGAGGACCACAGCCCTCAGGGTAGAGCCTGAGACTTGGCTTCAAACACGTCCAGGGTACAGGCAGCTGTGGTGGGAACGTGGTGGGGGTGCTACCTCCTCGCGAGGCTGGCCAGAATGCGCCCCTCTGATCCTGGTCATCGCTGTCAGGTACATGGGGACAAGCCTTTCCTTGAGAGATTCTGCCTGGTGGGGGTGCAGTCCCAGCCCCCACTACGTCCAGCAGCAGACAGGCAAGTGGGGGGCCAAGGGAGACCCCAAGTGGAGCCAGTCAGACCCGCCTAGTGTGGGGCCTGATTGGTGCTGGGCACTGCCCCATCCCTCCACAGGCCGTGAGCTGAGTGGGTCTGGCAAAAGCCAGCCCCAGGTCAGGGTGTCGCACACGGTGGCCCAAAGAGCTTGGAAGGTGGAGGTGAAGCCCCACCAGCGTCGGGCTGTGTTGAGTGACTCTCGATTGGGGCGAGCAGGCCTTTCCAGCAATTGGAGGTGTTTCTCCTTTTGAGAGGAAATGGAAGAATCTTGATGGTGGTTGGGGAACCTGTGAAGCAGAGCGGCCGTGTGACGGTGGGTGTTCAGGGCAGTGTGAGCCAGTGGCCGTGGATGGGCACAGAGCAGGCCCCTCTGCCCCCTTAGCTTGTTTAGCGAGTATAAGCAGTTTTCAGTCTTGAGTCTTCCCCAGTTATGTAACAATCATGATATTATAACTGCAGTGAAAGTTTGTTTAAAAATACAACAGCTGAAGCAGTGTGGGCTCCTGGAGTGGGGAAAGGGTGTCGATGGGAAAGCCACATGAGGTCAGGGGTGGGGATGCTAGCATGAAGGGACACACAGGCCGAATGAGGGGTCACAGGGCCTCTGGACTGTCCCTGCAGCTTGTCTGTAAATCCAAAATTATCTCCAAATCTATTATGTTTATTTTTAAAAATGCAGTCATTTTTAGGGTCTTTGCTGCAGTAGCAGGATGTGTGGGCTTTGAGCCGACTGCTGAGTGTGGGCCACGGGCCCCTGGGCATGTTGTGGGAGCCCCTGGCCTCCCGATGGGCCTCGGGAGACAGCGCTTTGGGGCAGGTGGGCTGGCTGCCTGTGCAAGGTGTGACCCCCTCTCTTAAGCACAGTTTCCCCTGCGTCAGTGGTGGGTGTGGGGTCTCCCCCACTGGGTGGTTGTGGGTGTGAGGTGAGGGGTGTGGGACCAGCGCTGGGTCCGGTGAACTCTCACAACTGCACTCCTGTCTCTCTCATGCTGCCCGGCCCCTGGGTGTCCGTCTGCCCCCCCGGCAGGGCCTGGGGTTGTGCGGGCCCGTGGCGGTGGCCCCCTTGGACCGCGCTCATGTTAGAAGCCGAGTGCCGGCTGTGGAAGGTGTGGAGGGCTGGTTACCACAAGGCAGGCCCTGGACCGTGTCCTGCACGTGCTATTCTCTAGTCTGCATGACAGCGGCCGGCAGGGGAGCGCGTTATCTAATTGGTAGCTTTTATACTAAATAGGTGAGAGTCACACAGGGTGCTCAGTGGTGAAGCTGAGCTGCCTGGGGCATCAGCAGTGAGGACCAGGGGAGCAGGGCAGTCCAGCAGGGCCCCGGCTGGCCTCTGTGTGCATGGCTGAGGAACCTGCAGTGTCCAGAGGTGAGGTGACTGGCAGCTCCAGGCCTCGAGCTCGGATGTGAGTGACCCATGGCCCCACTCCCTTCTCCTCTGGGGTGAGCTGAACAAAGGGAAAAGGATGCAAGCAGAGAAGGTGACAGCCCAGAGAAGGGTGTACATGTGGCCCTGGGACGTGGTGGGCAGGACTGGGCACCCACAGAGCAGGGGAGGAAGATGGGATGGCTGTCTGGGGGGCAGGCCTGGAGCAGGGTGCTGTGATGGCACAAGTGGGTTGTCTGTTTGAGAGGTCAGGATCTGGGACCTCAGATTTGGGAACTCATGGCAGTGAGCGCCAGGAACAGCTCAGGTGGCGGCGGTGAGGAAATGGAGGCTGAAGTCGATGCTAGAACCATGGCCCAGTGTGCAGGGAGGAGAGGCAAGGCTGGCTCTGTAGAGCCTGGGGGTGGGGCAGCCTGCGTAGGGGAGGGACGCCTCCAGGCACTCTTAGCAGCTGGTGGTGAAGGTGGAGAGCAGTCAGTCAGAGGCTGGGGTTGCGGGTGAATGGTGGTCCCACTGCCAGGGAGAGACGTGGGGGCCCCCAGGTCTCTCAGTGTCCTGCTGGCTGAGGACATGGCCCCACGGAGGAGGCCCAGGCTGGCTCCCCAGCCCCTGTGGCAGGAGGCCCATGAAATTCCGGTGTGTAAACAGCAGGTACTGCTGGTCCCTGGAGGGAGTACCAGATCGCCCCAGCCTACTGTGCCTGCTCACGGCCTGTCCTCCTCTGGGCTCTCCTTGGCCTCTCACTGGTGCCCAGACCACGAGGTTGAGGGGTCCTTTAGGGCATAGCCCCAGTCCTGCGTGTTGAGGCTTTGCTCACGGGCTACCCAACTCTCTCATCTGTGGTCTTGTTCTGAGGGAACAGTGCTGCACCATGGCCACTGGGTGGGCATTGGCTCCTGCCTGGCCTGGCCTGGAGCTCCCTGGGAAGAGGCCTGGCAAATGCTGGTGGAGGAGGATTGTTGCTCCCTATTGTGGGGTCCCAGGCCCTCCCCCACCCAGGGGCCTGGAGAACAAATGTGCCATGTGTGTCCGCTGGGCATGAAGCCCGTTCTCAGGGAAGAGCCTTGGGGGAGGGAAGCAGCACGTGGAGACTTGGTGGGTGTCAGGTGGGGGTAGGGCTGCAGCAGGAAGGGGGCAAGTCTGGGAGGTGGCAGGTCCGTGTCTCAAGGGCCCATGGGGGCTGTGGTCCCGCGTGAGGGGCTCCTGGAGGGTCCAGGCAAGATCATGGGGGTCTTACAGAATGGTGCTGGCTGTTGGGAGTAAGGGAAGTCACAGGAAGGTCTGGCCTGGGAGGGGGCTGCTGGATGGGTGGGGGAAAGGGCTGGGTTTTGGGGATTCTCAGAGCTATGACTGATAGCACTGGGTGGTGAAGGGAGCAGCCAGGGTGACCCTAAGGTTTGGGTCTGAACAGCTGTTTGGGGCATGGCAGTGCCAGTTAGTGCAACTTGAGGGGAAAGGTTTGGGAAGGGTGGAAACCAGTACTCGTGGGTCATCCCTGGGCTCTTTCGGGGTGGAGGTCAGGTCTGGGGCTGTGGCCCAGTCAGCACAGGGGTCAGGGCAAAGCCCCGGCCCTCGAGGGTGCATGCACTGCTGACAGCCCCTCCAGCTCCACACTGTCCTGTCTTGCAGGCGACACATTGTTTGTGGCTGGGCGGGGGGGGGTGTGCAGTGCCAGTTAGTGCAACTTGAGGGGAAAGGTTTGGGAAGGGTGGAAACCAGTACTCGTGGGTCATCCCTGGGCTCTTTCGGGGTGGAGGTCAGGTCTGGGGCTGTGGCCCAGTCAGCACAGGGGTCAGGGCAAAGCCCCGGCCCTCGAGGGTGCATGCACTGCTGACAGCCCCTCCAGCTCCACACTGTCCTGTCTTGCAGGCGACACATTGTTTGTGGCTGGCTGCGGGAAGTTCTATGAGGGGACAGCAGATGAGATGTACAAAGCCCTGCTCGAGGTCCTGGGCCGGCTCCCTCCAGACACGGTAGGTGGTGCCCCACCCGCCACCCGCCACCCGCCACCCGCTCGCTCGCCCGGTGGTGGGAGAACCCTGCTGGCTCTCCCCATTGGGGTCTCCCCTGCATCTTGGGAGGAGCAGGAGGGTAGAGGCATTGCTTTTGGAAGTGTGTTTTTTCTTTAAGCATACTTTTCATTGTCATTTAACATACACGCAAGATGTGTCCTTGTCCTGAGGGACGTCTCGTGGGTGCTGCCCCCAGGACTAGCCAGGTCCCTCACACCCGTCTCTGAGGGGCTGAGGGTGGGTTAATGAGTCTCCTCAGAGCTGGCGGGCTTGGCTTTTTCCCCAGAGAGTGTACTGTGGCCACGAATACACCATCAACAACCTCAAGTTTGCTCGCCATGTGGAGCCCAGCAATGCCGCCATCCAGGAGAAACTGGCCTGGGCCAAGGTGAGCGTGATGCACTCGGGCGCGTCCTGGGGTCAGGCACTGTGATGCCACTTTCCCAGGAGCACAGAGTTCATGGTGCCCGCTTCAGAGTGGGCAGAAAGTGCTCCTCCAGGCAGTGGGCGAGGCGGGGTTTAGACAGCCCAGCTTGGAGCAAGAAGCCCTGGTTGTCTGCTTAAGATCCTTTCTGACTCTGTGGGTCAGGGCTGGGCTTGGGATTCTGCATTTTGAACAAGTGCCCAGGTGAGGCTGAAGCAGCAGGTCCCAGCCCCTCCCTGCTGTCTGTGGGCAGTGGATTCACCCTGGAGGCTGCTTGTCTGAAAGGCATTTATTTCAGACACGGCCCCCAACATGCCCCGTGGCTCAGCCCAGGGGTTGGCGTATTGTCCTGGAGGCATCTTCTGTGGGGGGGGTTTGGAAACGCTGCTGCAGGCAGCTGGGCTGAGGACGTTCTCCTGAACTCAGGTGTCTGTGTTCAGTCACTGAGAAATGGTGTTGGTAAGAAACACACACACCTGGGAGTCCTCAGGTGCTGGGCTACCTTCTGCTGAGTTCAGTGAGGAATGGTCTCATAGGTTTTTTTTTCATAAGTCACCTGTTTTTGTCAAGCATCTTTATCAATTTTGCGAGATGGGCTTGCAAAATAATACTTATAAAAATTCAGACACTACTGTAATAGGTTGATAAATGTTATTCCTTTTTTTTTTTTTACAGTGTGCACATAAGAATACTTTTTTTAATATAAAAAACTCATACTGTGTGTTATTTTGTGGCTTCCTTGTCATTTAATATGGGTCTAAGTGCTCTTTCCATAGCAGTCCAAACACATTGAGCTTATTCTTTTCATGGTTATCTGCTTAAGGATAACTTACATACAATAAAACATACCTGTTTTAAGTGAGCATTATACAGTTTGAATTTTGACAGTATATGCTCCTGTGTCAGCCCAACCACAATCAAGATAGAGAACATTTCCACTATCGTAGAAGGTTCCTTGCCCCTCCCCATTCAGCCCCCAACTACTGAAATGCTTTCTGTCACTATAAATTACTTTTCTAGATTTTCATATAAACAGAATCACACAACATTTCTCTGTTGTATCTAGCTCTTTTTACTCAGCATGTTTTCGAGATTTTTTAAAAAAATTTCTGAGTAGTATCTCATATGGACATACTACAATTTGTTTATCCACTCACCTGGATGGACTCTTGGGTAGTTCCCAGTTTTTTGCTATTTTAAATAAAATTACTGTGAACGTTTGTGTGCAGGTCTTTGTGTGGACACGTTTTCATTGCTTGTGGGAACGTACCTAAGAGTGTAATTGCTGGGTTGTGTGGTAAGTGTATGTTTAACTTTAAGAAACTACCAACCTGTTTTCCAATTAGTTGTACTATTTGGAATCCTCACTAGCAATGCGTGAGTTCCAGGAGATCCACATGCCCACCAACACTTGGTATTGCTGATCTTTTAAATTTCAGCCATTCTAATAGGTGTGTCGTGGTTAGCTTGTAGTTTTTAAGTTTCCATTTCTCTGATGGCTAAAGTTGTAAGAATTCCTTATACATTCTGGAAACAAGTCTTTGTCAGATATATATCTCAAATATTTTATCCCAGTCTGTGGCTTGCCTTGCCATTTTCTTTTTTTCTTTTTTTTTTTTAAAGTTTGTTTTCTTTTTGTTTTTTAATTAATTAATTTATCTTTTGGCTGCATTGGGCCCCCGTTGCTGTGCGCGGGCCCCCCCTAGTCGCACTGAGCAGGGGCCACTCTCTGCCACGGCGCGCCGGCCCCTCACCGCAGTGGGCCCCCCCCTCGCCCCCCCCC